AATGATTACCAGAAGAACGGTTACTATGAAAAACAACTTTTGCAGATTTGAATCATTTTCGTAACGGTCATTCTCGGTACTTCTGTAAATTGGTTTTATAAGTATATCACTTTGGAAAGAAAGTGACCTTAAATTTTGTTTACTTCGTTTTTAACGATTTGTCAAATTGGACCATAGAATATACCACGAATTTCATATATAAAAGTGACCTTAATTTATTTGAAGTTTGCATTGGAAATAGTCCCTTCATATGCGCCAAACAACGGAAGTCCCAAAGCCAATAGCTATCATCACATGGTTCCTACTCTCCTTTGGATCTTTCACTTTAATAATTCTCCTCTTCGTTTTTTTTTATTGGTCGAAAAATAATTCTTCTCTCATTTGTCTTTTTATATTTTGTTGAATAGTATGAAAATATTGCTCTGTTAATCTTTAAGAATCCGAAATATTACACACAGGAAAAAAAAAACAAATGTAAAAGTAAGATGATATGCTTGTACAATTGAAAGACACATAGAAGGAACAAAGAATGAGCTGTAATGGCGAAAACAATAAGTGGAAAATGTGTGTATTTTTGTCTTCTTCTTCTTCTTGTTGGTGTCTTGAATCATCTGAACAAAGCTTGAATCTCTTCAAGAGTTTTGCCTTTAGTCTCAGGAACCCAAAGACTCACAAAGACCACAGTGAATCCACAAACCAAAGCATAAAGAGTAAAAGTTCCTCCACTGCTCCAAGCTAAGAGCATATTTGCAGTCATTGTGACTAACCACGAGACAAACCAATTTAGCAATGTTGCTATACTTCCGGCTAAACCCTTTATATTCACTGGAAGAATCTGTTTTTAACAAAAAATTAATCAGTCAAAAGATTAGTTTAGCTAGTTCTTAATTTTAACACTAAAAGTAACATTTTCAATATTCGGTACCTCAGACATAATCAGCCATGGAATTGGTCCCATTCCCAAAGAGCAAGCAATAACCATAGCCTGTAAAAAACTCAGCAAGATTTAGCAGAAATACCGCGAACTTTGTAAACAAGAAAGCTTCGTTATACGGAAAACTTACCACAACTCCAACTACAGAGACCATGCTTAGAATGTTGTACATATCGGAATCAGGCGATACGAATTCCTAACAAGAAATTACATACATACTCAGGATTAATGTGAAGCTCTACATTGCAGAAAGATTTATACAAATTTTTTAAAAAGTACCTTGAGGTAAAACGCGGCCGCTACAATCACGAGGCTAATCGTCATTCCGATAGAAGAGATCTGCATATTAAGAGGATGAATTAATATTTTGTTTTCATACATAACTTCTTCAGAGTTTGTAAAATAATATATGAGTCTCAAATAAAACTCCTCACCATGAGCAGAAGTCGACGACCGGATTTGTCCACCAACCATGTCGCTACTGCAGTCGCTATTACCTGGTTTCGAATGAACAAAACGGTTTAAAACCAAATCTAGTGGCTCCTAGATTGAAGTTATATTGGTTGAAGTTATATACCTGAACGACACCAACTCCTAATGTTGCCACATTACTCGATGAGACGCCTAACATGGAACAAACAAGCATATTATGAGATATGTTTATTCTCTCTTAGGAAGATTCCAACAATGAAGACAAACATTTAACTTTACCTGCAGATTCAAAAATTGTACTCGAATAGAACAAGACACCGTTAATTCCTCCAAGTTGTTGAAGTACAAGCAGTCCTATACCAACCTGTAACACATATATTACAGGGGAGTTTCTTTCACAGTGAGACAAAATTAGTTCCAGGAGGTAAGAGTAATTGTACCATCAATGGGAAATAGTATCTCCTACGCTTGAGATCTACAAACCGAATTGCAGAACGTTTGCCAGATGATGCCACAGATCTCTGTATATTGGAAAAGTAACACATTTAGCGTTCCTAAACTCGTCACATAGTAAAACCATCAGTTTAGTAAATACCTTAATTTCATTAACTTCGACGGTAATATCAGTATCGAATCCACGAAGAACTTGCAATGAAGTTTCGAAATCATCTGTGAAACCCATCTTTGCCTACATTTATGACACAAAAAAAGGAGAGAATAACCAATAATGCAACGAACTCAACAATATAAGCAGATACATTATAAAGGCTTACCAGCCACCGAGGAGATTCAGGAATGAAAAATAGACCCGGTATCAATAATGTACATGGCAATACTCCTAAAGATAAAGAAAACAATCAAGAAAGTGATTAGACCGTATCGAT